CTCCATACTGGATCTAGGATGCTTTCTTGCCCTGGAGCACAGCCTCTCCCTGAACTGGAATGCTCCAGGCAGTGCACTTCTGGACAGACCTCATCCCTGTTATCCACAGACTTCTCTCTCTCTCCATGCTAACCTAGACTGGAAAACTAAAATTAAAAGGAAAAAAAGTATTCACTGATTTTTTTCCTTAGATTTCGGGATTCAGTCTGGTACATTCTATAGATCTGTTTGGAGGGAGGGAGTGCTTGCTGTATTCATGCCTGCTTCTCTGCCCCCACTTGGCTTCCTAGATCAGAATCTTCCCAGAATAGCCTAAGCATCAATGTTCTACTTGATGAATTCACCAACAAGCATTTAGTAAGCATCCCTACACTACAGGCACTGTGCACTGGCAACACAACTATAGTTACCACCGTCTCTGACTTTAAGGAGCGCATATTTTACTGCAGGACAAAACATGTTAATAAGTAAATACGACATGATTTGAGGAGAGAATAGTTAACACCAGGGAAATCAGTAGAGGCTTCCTGCAGTAGAGAGCACCTGAACTGAGCCTCAAAGAAAGCTCCAGAAATAGGAATGTCAAGGGCCTAGAGAATCTTGCAAAACACAGGTGGAAGATGGAATGCTGAGGTCTGGAAAAAAGCAATGAGTGTAGATGGAGGAGAAATCTGCAAAGGCAAATGGAGGCTGGATTTTACAGAACTTTAAATGACAAGCTAAGGAGTTTGCACGTCATCCTAGAGGCAATAAGAAACAGTAAAGATTTTCAAGCAGAGAAGCAATATAGTTGAGACAAAGGAAAGACATACTTTAGAAACATAATTATAGTAGACTGGTGGGTGGGAGGAGAGATCTATTAGGAAGTTCCTGCCATAGCATTTAGCATTTCCTAGTGTCACAGCATGAGATTTCAGGGACTGTTCTGTTTCCAGTGGTTCTGGAGTTCTCAGATGCTTTCCTCTGTGTTGTGAGAACAAGAAATGCACTCTCATCCCCTGCTGGGATCCATGTAGTTTTTTGTTTTTGTTTTGTTTGCTTATTGTTGTTTGTCCTTATCTCTTGAAGAGGAGCAATGACATCACAAGGGTGATGTCTTGACTTGCTTATGCCCTGGATTTAGGTGAGGCAGAGTTGTGCAAAGTCATCAGTCTCAGTCTCCTCCAAAGTCATCTGACAGTTTCAACTTGACATTCCTCTCATCAAAAAGCTTTTCTTTTTTGCATCTTAATTATTCATGATTTCTCACTTCCAGGTCTAAACCCTATGATTCTACTCTATAAGGGGCAACTAGGTGGTACAGGGGACAGAACGTTTGGCCTGGAGTCAGTCTGAATATTTGTTAAGTCCCCACTATGTGCCAGGCACTGTGCTCAGTACTGGAGATACAAAGAAAAGCAGAAGCCCATCCCCTGCTCCTGAGGCACTCACAATGTAATGGGAGAGACAGCATACAGATATGTACAAATAAGCTATATACAGGATAAATTTGAAATAAGAGAGGGAATAAGAAGGGTTGGGAAAGGCTGCCAGTAGAAGGTGGGATTTTTGTTGGGACTTAGAGGACGGCAGAGAGACTTAGTGCATGAAAGCTAATCTAAATTAATTTTTTTTTTTAGTATTATGTTATTCCTAATGTGCTTAGTGAATTGACAACTAGTGGTACAGTGGATAAAGTTGTGGACCTCAAGCCAGGAAGACCTGAGTTCCAGTATGTATTAGCTGAACTACCTGCAAGTCCTTGGGCAAGTCCCTTACCTTCTTGCCTTAGTTTCCTCAACTGTAAAATGGGGTTAATAATATCACTTACCTCTTCCCAGGGTTGTTGTGAGGATCAAATGTGATAATATTTGTTAAGTGCTTAGCCCAGTGTCTGGCACATAGCAGGCAGTATATAAATATTTTCAAAATGAATGTTCACTAAGTATTCATCAAGTATGTTCTATAACTTTTGATACTTTCTTAGAAAGTAAACATTTACTATTCAATAAGCTTTTCTTTTGGGTGGATCAGTTAGATCTTTGTGTGCTCCTTTTTGGCCTTGTAGATAAATTCAACTCCAGGAATAGTAGTAGAATAATAGTGCCTGTTATTTAAAGGCATTTTGCCTGTGAGGAATAGAGATAAGAAGACATAGATAGCCCCTTTCATCAAGAGTCTTACAGGTTAGTAAGAAGGATAAAACAAGCACAAATAATAAGCCAGAATGCACTTAGTGCCATAAGAGAAACAGAAAGTATTCTATGAGTTCAGGTTGAGGAGGAAGACGTCACATTTGAAGACCTGGGAAGATCTTAAAGAGAAGTTGGCTCTTGAAAGATGGTAAGGATATGGGTGAGGAAGACTGGATAAGATTGGTTTTCCATGAACAAAGACAGCCAAGAAAGCAGGGAATGAATAATCCATTGTTGAATATAGATTATATGTCAGCAATGGTAAAAGAGGCTTAAGACCACTTTATAAAGGACCTCAAATGCCTTCTAGAGAAGTCTGAACTTTATTCAGTAAATGGAAATGTCATCAAAGTTTTTTGTGCAGGCCAGTCACATAATCAGAGGTTAAATTTTAAGATTAATGGGAAATGTTGCGAATTGACTTGGGAGCAGGGAAGATATTGAATGTGAAGAGGTAATTAAGCTGTTTGAATGGCCCAGCCTAGTTGTAATGAATGAACTAAGATGGTGGAAGTGGAAATGAGGCAGATACGGTGGATATAGAACTCACAAAACATAGCAACTACTTGGATATAGGGAGCAAAGGAGAAGGTTTCTATGTTGTGCAACTTCTAGAATGAATGATTTTGTTATTTCTGTACCTTTATTGTTAACTAAAAACAGTATCACAAGTTCATGAGGCATTGCATTGCAACTAGATTTATTACAAGAGAAATGAACATGCATGTGAAACCCTAAGCAAGCATAGAGTTTGCAATTCAAACAGAAACTTACATATTTACGAAATTGCAGCAAAGAGAGGAGGAGAAATAGAAATCTCCATCTAAATGAGGTGGCAGGGAAGGAGAAATATGAATAATCAAGATGGCAAAAGCATCATTCTTTTCCCTTGGAAAAGGGAAAAGGAGGGTCTATTTATCTACAAGGGTCCAGGCTGCCACAGCAGTTTCCCAGTCTAGTGCAGACTGACTGGCATGTGAGTTAACTCCCAAGGACACACCTGGAGTCTAGCTTGGGATGCAAACAACAAATTATGTCAGTTCTGGGTGGGGCCAGACCTTCCTCCTTGATGCATTCAGGGTCTCTTGCATATTCTGGTTCGGTGTTTCTGGAAAATATGGCAACTCAAAAGGACAAATTCAGGGGACCCCTTAACAGTATCTACATGAGATTCATATGTCTAACCCCAGTCCAAATCCTGGCTCTCCTATACCACATAATAAATTATCATCTCATGGGGCAGGATTAGAACCAATGGTTGGAAATTAAAGGAAGGCAGATTTCAGCTCAAAATAGACAAAGAAACAAGCAGTGAGGTATATCTGTGGCAATGAAGGTAACAGCAACAATGAGGCAAGTTTGATTCGTAGCAGGGTTTCGTGATCACAATATGGTTCCTGAAGGTGCTTCTCCAAGCTCAGGGACCACCGGGGGTTGACAGGAAGCAATTCTGTGATTTTGCTGCAGCAGAATTCATCCAGAGGGTGTTGTTATGACAAGCTCTGGGCACACAACTTGCCTGCTGGGCATTAGCTCTGGAAAACAGTGTTTCCTAGCAATAAAAAGGGAAAAGTGAAAAGAGAGGGGTGGTCTTAGCATGGGGATCCTGACATTTCCCTCTTTTGGCCAAAGAACCTCTCCTATTCTGGCCAATAGAGGAGCCTTTAGTGTGGGTGGACAACTTCTTCCAGTAGGTATAAAGGGAATGGCAGTACAGAAAAACACTCCTGCCTATCCTTAGAGGGGGACTGATCAGGTGTAAAGGGGAATCAGAGAGATGGTGACACCACACCTCCTCCCAAGGAAGGGGAGAGGAAGAAAAGCCCAGAGTCACACAATTGCTGGGACACAAAAATGGTGAGTCAGTGAAGAAGTAGAGGGCCAAACAGGAAGAGGAGTAAAAGGAAAAGCAGCAGGGGGCAGAGTGAGTACAGCCAGGTTCCTGACAGGAGAAAACCTTTGATGGAGTTCCAGATATCAGAAGGCTACTGTCTCTGGCCGAGATCTTGGAGCCACCGGCCTGCTCATAGGTTTTCAGGATATTAGTCTTGATCTGGCAGGTGGTGTTGGCCCAAGTGCAGCAAGAAGTGTTGGCGACAGGGCACTAGCCTCCCTCTTTCAAGAGGTGGTGATCTAGAATGACATTAGCAATGAGTTCAAGGACGTCATGAGGCCATTTAGGGCCTCACCAGTGTCTTGAGCAAGTGCCTCCAGGTTTGTAATGAGTCCTGAAAGGGTGGACCCATGGTACACAAAACCTCCCAATGGGGCAGCAAGCTTGGCAAGTAGTAGTCCTTGTTTAGTAAGCAGTTTGTTTAGCTCCCTGCAGTGAGTGGGTGGTAGAGGAATTGCAAATTTTGAGATTTGCATAAGCAAAAAAAACCAACTGTAAAACCCCCACCAGAGAAGTTATTGAGGCCAGTATAAATGAGACTGTGTCAAAAGACTTAAGGCAAGATTCTGAGCTTCTGTCTTGTGTGACCTTAGGCAGGGGCATTTACCTGTAAACTGGGGACAATCCTGCCTGCCCTACTTCTGTGTCATAGGATTTTTTGGAATATAAATGAAAATTAATATTTGTGAAGAATACTTGGTAAACCATAAAGCATGCTTTCATTGAACAGTTGTTTACCTTTTTATGAAGCCCTACTTGTTTACCTATTAATGAAAGGACATACAGTTTACATTTTGATAGACCTAGAAATAATTTGTTTCTAGGAATAAATATGTAAGCAAAAATTTAGAACAGGGCGTTTTAGATTTATGTAGGAATTATAAATAGGTGCTTTAAAAGGTTAATTACATATGAATATTTCCTTTTTATAGATATTGCTGTCAACTTGACTGATCCTATGTTCAGAGGAATTTACAGAGGGATTCAAAAACACCAAGGTAATTTTTTTTGAAGTCAGATTTGCTACCTGCTACTTTTATGAGAAAATAGGTCTAGTCTCCTCAAATAATTAATATTTATCAATCGATCAACAAACTTTTATTAAGCACTTGTTATATACCTAGACCTGATTTTATAGACACAGAATTTAAGTAGTCTTGGTCTTCAAGGAGCTAACACTTCCTGGGAGGAATACATAAGGTTCACAGAAGGGTAAGGACAGGATATATGCAAAATCAAACCAATGATTTGGGGGAGGCAGACCATTAGCAACTGTGGGAGAATCAGGAAAAGTTTCTTGAAGGAGATGGCATTAGAGCTGGGCTTTGAAGGGGCAGGGACAGGAATAGATATAGCATTGCCCTGGAATCAGGAGGACCTGAGTTCAAATGTGACCTTAGACATATTACACTCACTAGCTGTGTGACTCTGGGCAAGTCACTTAACTCCAGTTGCCTCACCAAAAAAAAAAAAAATAGACAGCATTTCAGGCCTGAGGGACAGCTCTTGTGAAGGCATGGATTTAGGAGAGGCAGCAAATGAGCTTAATGCAGTCTTGGCCCACTGTAGGTGCTTAATGACTGCTATATGAATGAATAAGTGAATCTAACATAGTCTAAATATTTTTTTCATTGTCAGTTTATTTAGGATTGTAAAATTTGGAATTAAAAGGTGCCTTAAGGTCAATAATCCAAATAGTTCACTTCCTTTGTTGTCGAAGATGTGACTTACCCATGGTTATACAGATAGCAGATGGCAGAGTCAGGTTTCAAATCTAGGGCCCTGATGCTAAGTCCAGTATTTGTTCTGCTACATCATGCTGCCTCTGTTTTCAGTCTTTTGTATTAAAGGATTTATTGACATCACTTATAGAAATGCTACATTTTTTCCCCCTAATCTTTGGGTTCATAGTAAATAGTTATTTAGGGGCAGAGGGGAATATTAAATTTTTCCATCTGTGTGTTCCATTATAAAAAGAGGAATTAACAAGAACATTTACAAGACATGCCATTAGCACATGGCAATTCAAAAAGGAATACTGGAATATTCACAAAATATGAAGTCCCACTGAAGTGTACCTGGACCAAATAGAACTAGTTTATCAAAAGTTTTTTTTTATGATGTATAAACAAGAATAAAATTCAAGCCATGAAAAAAGTTTGAGCAGATAAATTTTACTTTTATTCTATTTCATTTGGTTAGTTTATTTAAAAAGGAGTCTCAAGCTCATACTTTCTGCCAATCTCTATTTCATTCAGCAGCCTATTTTAGCCATTTACCTTTCAGCTCTAGCATACTTGTCTTTAATAAATACTATACTCAGCCTTCTATTACCATGCTGATAAGTTCACATCCTGCACAAAACCTTTTTTTTCCCCTCTTTTAAACAAGTTGGTAATGATGAGTAAACTCTTGATCTGTAGTAGAGACTCACTAAGGATTACAGATTTTTAGTCTTGATTTAATAAAAATGATTATGTCAGTGTCTTTTGGTATCGGGGTCATCAAAGTTAAATGCCACCTAAATGGATTCATATTTTCCTGTTTCTCTTTTGGGGTCTAACCTTTACAGATGATTTCTTGGATATAATAGAAAGAGCAGTCCAGACTGGTGTTAAAAAGGTAACATATGCTTGTTTTTAAATTCTCATTCAATTTTTAAATTAAACTTCATAATCATTTAAAGAGTAAGAATATTAAAGCTACTCAATTCTAAGAAATTACTAATTTAGCTTTTATGTGCTACCATTATTGTTCTCATGTATAATTATTATAAATGGAAGGAAATTATCACAGCACTTTTTGCAGTACCTTGGTTTCTCATATAAAAAATGAAGGGGTTGCACTAAATAATCGCTGAGGTCTTTTCCCACTCTAACGTATGTATCTATTATTCTAGTTGCAAAAGCCTTATGGGTATTTCTTCAAAATGGTGTTTCCCTTCAGGAGTTTACATGTGATCATCAGATTTAGATCTTGGGATCTCAGAGATCATTTACACAACAAGGAAATGAGAGGTAAAGTGAGTTGGAGGTCCTTCAGTGTGAAGTCAGAGGGGCAGAATTCAACCCTGGATCTCTGACTCCAGCTGCAGCTTCTTCCCATTAATACCATACTGCCTCTAGAAAGGCAATAAATGGAGTAAATTTGGTAGATTTCTTTAATCTTGGGAGAAGATTCAAAGTGCTAATGATTTGTATTTGGAAGGTACTCTGATATTTGCATGCAACCATATCACACAGGCCAAACTGCTAGAAAGGAATTTTATCTTCCTTTTAATATTATCTTTTTACCTTCAGACATAACACTCCCAGTCTAAATGAATAAGCCCAAGCTTAAATATAGGTGGAAGACATTTATTTTAACAATGGTAATTTTATCATCAGAATAACTAGGAAAGGTACCTTCTGTTTTGAAGGCTCACTTGCTTTCTTTCACAGAATCAAAGAAGTTTACATTTAGAAAGTCTGGATCTCAGAGCCTAACCCCAGGGGTTCTTAATCTAGGATCTCTTAACTTTAAAAAAAAATTGATAGCTGTATTTCACTATAATTGGTTCCCTTTGTCATCCTATGAATTTCATTTTATGCATTTAAAAAATCTTTCTGAGGAATCTGTAGCTTTGCCAGACTGCCAAAGGGGTCCATGACATAAACAAGGTTAAGAACCTCTGGTACTCCCCACATGTAACCAAAAAATTCCATCGGTAACATTACTGACATGTAATGGCCACCTGGCCTCTGTGCAGAGACTCTCACAGAAAGGTCCATTTCACCTTTGGTTAGGGAGTTTTCCCTGACATCAAGCCTGTCTTCCCTCTCTGCAGTTTCCACCACTGCTCCTGGTTCTGCCTTTTGGGGCCAAGTACATCAATTCCTCTTTGGTTTAACAATGCTTCAAACACTTGATTTTTTATAATATACTGCTAAGCTTTTTCTAGGCTAAATATTCTAAGTTCCTTCAGCCAGCCCTCATGTACCATGATCTCTAGGTGCTTCTCCATCCTGGTCCCTTCTTTGGGTTCTCTCCAGCCTGTCCAGTATCCTGCCTGGATATGTGGTGTGATCCCCAGAACTGAAATCTATGCCACAATGTATTCTCCCCAAATTGTTATATAAGACTAGCATCTCCCTTGTTCAGGTGGCTAGGTGGCTCCATGCATAGAGTGCTGAACCTGGAGTCAGGAAGACCCGAGTTTAAATCCAGCCTCAGCCACTTACTAGATGAGTGACCCTGGGCAAGTCACTTAACCTCTGTTTGCCTTAATCCACTGGAGAAAGAAATGACAGATCACTCCAGTATCTTTGCCAAGAAAACCCTGTGTGGGATCATGAAGAGTTGGAGACAACTGAACAAGAACAACAATGTTCTGGATATCATCCCTGCCTTTCTTAATGACTCCTAGGCTAGCATTTGTATGTCATACTGTTGACACTCTGAGCTTCACCCACAACTCCAGATCTTTTTAATAGCACTGGTTTTCTAGCTACTGCCATATCATTTTCTCTTAGTAAAGCTGGTATTTTTGCAGAACTTTGATTTATACAAAGCCATGATTTTCTAATTAATGTTACCTCTGCTTCCCCCAGTGGTTTAGAGCTCAGTGCATGCATGCTTTCTTAATTTTTGTATCTTTCTGTAAATCTTCCATAGAGGGCCCATCTAGCATCCTGGGGTGAAGTAGCATGGCATGTCGGGCAGTCTATTGTTATCTCTTGCTTTCACCATGAGTGGCCCATCTCCTCTTTCAGTCTTCATCTCTTGATAATATCTATCAGATTATCCTATTTCATGTGTGTAATTCATCATTGGTAATATGTTGCAGCCTACTTACACCCACCATGTGCTTTATCATTGCCCTTTGGCAGTATTTTCTCTCTCATTAGACTGTGAACACCTTGAGAGCAGGGACTGTCATTTGCCTTTCTTTGTATCTCCAGCATTTAGCACAGTGTCTGGCAAATGGTAGGCACTTAATAAATATTTATTAATTGACTTTGGGTAACTTAATTCTTTAGAGACTGGCATTCTCACTAGACCCACATTTGAGCTTTTTCTGAGTAATTTATCTTTCCTTTTTTTAGATATCTTGAGAATCGATTTCTGAATACCCTCAAAATGACCACAGCCAACATAGATCTTGTGTGTGTGCTTGCTATAGTACGGCTGCATCTTCCCATTCAGCTCCCTCATGTAGCATGTTAGAGACTCTTAGAATCCAAATGTGGTCACTTCAGTAGAATTAATAAAGAGTTTGTTACAGAAATCTTTAGAGATCTTTACCATTTCTCTTCTGTACATTTTCCTCCTTCCATTTTTATGTTTAAGTATGCTATAGTTGATCTAGCTTAAGTTGGGTCCCTTGCCAAGCTTTTCATCAACTTGTTTTTCCCTCTAATGCTTCTCACTGTTTTGTGAGGCAACACTGCTTATGATCCTCTTGTTTTTCCTTGTTTGCCTATTGACCTTAGGCTATGTGTTTGTGCTTCCCTTTCTAACTATGCTTCTACTAATGCAGCCCAAGAGCATATTTCTTTTTTAACTACTATGCCACACTGCTGATTTCTGTTGATCTTGTTCTCGTTGAACAATCTTGTAAGGAAGGTAGCATATTATTAGCCCCACTTCGCATATAAGGAAATTGAGTCTCAGAGAGGTTAAATGACTTGTGTGTGAACAAAAGGTGGTACTAGAACTGGCTTTCTAAAGAGTCATGCTCAAAAAAGTTGTCAATGCCACTTTGTTTTGGAAAATTTTTTTTTCAAAAGCCTTTTAATAGCTACCCCATAAAGGTAGAAGTTAGAGAGATAGGGAATCTGGGTTCTAGTACAAATTCTGCCACTAACTAGCTCTGTGACTTTGATAATTAATTTGATTTTTCTGGGACAGTTTCTGCAGTAGTAAAATGTGGCTTCTTCAGTTTTAAAATTCTGTTCCCTGTAACAGATACTAATTATGAAAAATGGTGGGGGGGGAAGAGAGAGCATAATAGGCCCAGTATCTATTTCATTCCCTGCTTTCTAAAGCACTTTGTAAAATTTCTTTTTACACAATTCTGTTATACTCCAAACCCTGGCTATAACGCCTTGTACCTGAGTAACCAAGGACATGTATCAATTAGTCACTCCAGACTACAGTTTCCTTAACTGTAAAAAGAGGACGATAATACTTGTTCTGCCAGTTCAATAAAGGTGTTCTGAGAAATGTACTTTGTAAATATTACAGCGTTATCTAAATGTTAGCTATTTTTATTTTCATGTTTCTTCACCTCAACAGTATATTAGCAGATGTTTGGTCAAGATCTCCACTTATAAAATGTGTTATTTAATAGTACATAAAATAGGAGGAACATTGACTCTAAAGTCAGAAGACCTGGGTTCAAATCCCACTTTTGATATTTGTTACCTGTCTGTCTCTGAGCCTCAGATTCTTCATGGGAAGAAATGAATAGATTTAGAAGATCTAAAAATAGAACGCCTCTGAGGCCCCTTTGAGCTCTAAATATATGATATCATCATGTGCTCTGTCAGCACAGTAGCAGATACATTCTTCCAATGTAAAATTATGAATATATAATTTGTATCTTTTAATCCTGACTCTGCTACTGACTACGAGTCTATTACCTTTTAGGGCCTCCGTTTCTTCACTTGTAAAATTAAGTTAGACTAAGTGACTTTCTTTAAATCTATGAACTAAGCGTTAAATTATAATCTTAGAAATATTTTATATTACAATTAATGAATTATACCTTAAGAAACTTGTGAAATTTCACTGGACAGAGTTCCAGATTCAGATTTAGTTCAATAGGAAAATAATCCTAGGATCATATTTACAGATTTGGAGAAAAGCAATTGTCTCTGTTTAATCTTGTTACTACTTTTTTCTATCTGATTATTTGAAGAGTGGTTTGAATAAAAAGAGAAAATCCTTAGGAAATATGTACAGAATGTAGATGTATTACAGGTTGTGTATCTATTGAGCGTAAAAATATTTTCATAGTTTTTTTCATATTTTTATATCTAGTATAGGTAGCCAAGGATTTGGTTCTTTCTAGGTGTTCTTTTATAAGATCAATTTCTACTCATACCATATACTTTTAAGTTAGTTTTCTGAAAATGTTTTTAATTATCTGTGCATTTACACTTCAATTTCAGTTACTTTAGCATTTATTAAGCAGCCACTGTCACCAAAGAGTACTGCACTGAGTATAGTGTACATTGTACACTTAGTTATCATTTCTTTGTACATTCTATGAAGCACCGAATACAAAGATTAAGGAAAATACAAAGATTCAACAAGAAATCATCCCCTGTTCTCATAGACGGTACAATCTAACAGGAGGAGATGATACACAAATATCTCTAGTACAAAATAACATGTGAGAAGTACATCAAGGAAATCCATATATCATTATGGACTTAATTTGCTATTCTATTCTAGAGGAAAGGAGGAAATCATTGTTTACTTGATTTGCTATATGTTTTATTTGATAACTCTTAAAATTTAATATAATAGTATCTTGGTCTATTTTTCTTTTACAAATGCTTTCAGATCTCTTAATTGATTTCCTTCTTGGGATAATTGTCTGCTTGAAGTAAATGCTAAGTATTTCTTCCATGATACTGCTGAATATAAGTAAAAAAGATATTCTCTATCAGATGATGGAATTGGACCATATCATTTCTAAGGTCCATTGTGGCTCTAAGTCCTGTAATTGTCTATCACTGAATTCCTTATTGGATTGTGCTCTTCGGGTACTCTTTGAATAGTCATGATTAGTAGATGATTCTTGACTGACTTTTTTAAACTACAATGGCACCATAATCAGCATTGCACATGTGAGACTTATTTGGGGAAGTATTACTAGTCAAGATTCGGTTTATGCTGAACAGACTTCATCAGCATAAACTGTTGAGACATCAGCAAAGTAAAACAGAAACAAAAGTTTGAAGATATGGTCTAGTTCTCATGTCTTGTTAACTGTGGCTCACTGCTAACCCAGATCTTTTGTTGTTTTTGTTCCTTTCAGTTTATGATTACAGGTGGAAGTCTACAAGACAGCAAAGATGCCCTGAATTTGGCAAAGACAAATGGTATCCTTATATACATTTACCTAAAATCCAAAGAGCTTTTGAGAACTGTCAGAACTATGATAAAATATATCAGTACTATATAAAAACACTGTGGATAAAAGAAAATGAGTTGTGTTTTAGTGGTATACTGTTAAGATGAATCAGTAGAGTAATTAAACTTTACAAATTAAGTGTATTTGATACTATGTAAGACATGCATTGCAATAGAAGCCTTTCTAACACTGGTTTTGAGGGGACAGATATAACAGGTTTTCTTGCTTCCAGTCTCCTTTCTCTAATCCAATAATAATAGTAACACTAGTTAACAGGTTTGCAAAACACTTTACATATACTATCTTATCTGTTCCTTAAAACAGCACGGTGAAGTAGCTGCATTTGTTATTATTATTCCTTTTTTTACTGATGAAGAAACAGGCTGAAGGAGGCTACATGACTTGCCCAGAGGCACAAAGCCAGGAAGTGTCTCGGGCAGATTTCAGACTGAGATCTTCCTTGCTCCTGGTCTGACACTTTTCCTGCTGTGACAGCTGCCAGTATTCATAGAATCATAATTTCATAGTTGGAAGGGACCTCTGCAGCCATTTAGTTCAACCCATACCTGAAAACCAATCCCTTCTACATCATAGACAAGTAGCCAGCTTGCTTTTGCATAAAGGCATCCAATGAGTGCACCCCATTATATCTCAATTTCCGCCCTCCATATAGGCAGATCTAATTATTACAAAGTTTTCCCCTACATTAAACCTAAATTTGCCTCTGAACTTCCACCTAATTACTCCTATTTCCGTACTTTGGAACCAAACAGAGTAAGTCTAATCTCTCTTTTAAGACAGTCCTCCAAATACTTGAAGTTGTCATGTCTTCCCTGAATCTTGCTAAATTAAACTTGCCCGGTTCCTTCAATGTGGCTTGCCAAGTTGGTTGCTTCCTGGCTCTCTTCTTAGAGAAAGTATTCCTGATGTAGAAGCATGAGGTTTCTGTTGAGTTGACAAGACTCTGTCCTCTTTTGTTGCTGGATTGTGCATCTTTTCAAACAGACCTTTCACCGTTCTCCTCCTCCCCATCTTAGCAGTGAAGTTGCCCAAGTATTAAAGGATATGTTAATTTATTTTGGAAGGTCTTATTGCCCCTCTGCATTTGTAAAATTTATCAACCTCATCCTTTGCAACAGATCTTGGTACATGAGCTGCTGTTATCTTCAGTGTTGTTCATTTTGGAAATGCTTATCATGAACACTGCAATACGTAATAAGCAAGCAAGCATCCCGTAAAATATTTCTTTTTGCCTTTGCACACACAACATTACCAGCTCAGCAAATTACGTAATTTACCTCTTCTAGAAGAATCTATGACTGAACCATCATTCAGCTTAACTGCCACTTCCTTAGATCTCTGTTTTGTTTGTAATGAGAATGTCAATATTGATACAGGTCAGTGCTCCAAAGTGCTTATCAACTCATTGGTCACTGACCAAGATCATACATTTAGAATACAAACAGTTAAGTTACCATTTATAGATGTTCATAGATTATAGGTAAATATTAATTGTTGTCAACCTTTGCCTATTTTGGGAGAGGGAGGAGGAGGGTGCTAGCACTTTGCAAAATCAGAAGGGGCCTGAACATGAATGACAGCTGTTTTGTATTTTTCTTAGTTTCATAGGGTGGCATGGCAAAAGAATCCATCCCCAAGTGGCCAGCCTACTGGTGATGAGCTCTTTAGACTTAGCTAGGCTTGCCCTTGGAAAGCAGACTCAGTCTGTTGCCAAGACCATACTTGAGTCCTTTCCAGCCTGGTGGAATTTGCTAGAGCTTTTAATCTGCTGGCACAGCCTTAAAAAAGCCAAGCTCATTTCCACAGTGGGATAATACATTGATGTAATTGTGGAGGTTAAAAAAGTTTGGTTTATTATAATGCACAGTATACCAGAGAGGGATGAACAAAGTTCTCTATGAAGTCTGGAAGGAAAAAGTCATTCCTCAGTGGGGTAATTGAGAAAAGCATTCTCAGGTATTTAGCTGTGCCTTATTTATCTAACATTGGTCAGTGAAGTTCTTGGTAAGTGATTTTCCCAGATGACTGAAGCTAATCTTTTAAAGCAGCAAAACTTTTTAAAAAATTAATTTAGATAGAAACCATTTTTTAAATGTATCACACACTTCCCTTCTTTCATAGAGAGGAAATGAAACATAATTTAGTTCTATCTTGATGACACAAATTCATCATCATGAATACTATTGTACTATGTTTTAATTTATTTATTGGTGCCCAGGACCAGTTGAGTTTTGAAGAACCCTCTGGTCTACAGTAAAATGGTCCCAGTGACTGCTCTGCTTTTATAGGTTTTCTTTTATTTCTCTTTGAATCAGTTGTCACTTATTCATTGTTATCTGTGTGTGTGTCTTTCTACTTTTAATCTGCCTTATTTTATAGACAAATATGCAGTTGAGCTCTATCCCTCTGCTGTGGGTAGAGTGAAATTGGGACTCTGGGCAAGTCACTGGACCTCTCACAGCTGTAGGCAACTCTCTTAAGAAAATAAGTTTCAAAGAATGTCCTAATTGTCATTGATAGAGGGAGTTTCCTCACCTGAGAATTCCCTATACCAACGAAATTACAGATTTAATACTTATTTCTTGTTTTCCTAGAATAAGTAATAATTGTAACATTTTTGTGTATTGGTTATAAATATGAAGGCATAGCATTTATGATGAAATATGTGCATCTTAAAAATAAGTCCATTATATTATTTTGTCCTAGATATGTTTTACAGCACAGTTGGATGTCATCCTACCTGCTGTGGAGAATTTGAAAAGAATAATCCTGACCTTTATTTAACTGAGCTGCTAAATCTTGCTGAAAATAATAAAGGAAAAGTTGTAGCAGTAGGGGAATGTGGACTGGGTAAGTGCTATTTGGGCAGGTCAGTGTGACTTTGTTCTACAATGTTGATTGTTTTTGTTACAAAGCAGTTGATTAATTGTAATTTTTTAAATCTTTTACAGATTTTGATAGATTACAGTTTTGTCCCAAAGATACACAACTCAAGTAAGGAAAATTTATTGCTATAGATTAATAGTAATTTAAAAAGCTTTTGTCAGTTCAAAATGTAGTTACTTCGTTTTAGTGATTATTTTAGTCATTATATTTGCAACTGGCCAAAACATGCTTTTTCATATGTGATTATAGCATTTTGTTATAGATATTATTACATTTTTCATTTCATGCTTGAATCTGTCTTATGTGTGAAAATATTCATGGGGATATGGGAGACAATAATGACTGAACTTTCTTATTTAATAGCTGTGATTAAAATAGACAAGAAAAATTGTGTTTAATAAACCTCTTCATTCATAACTATTAATTATAGCTCACTTAAACATGCATCTAGGCAATAAATTACTAGAGCCAAGGGGGTATCAAAAATGGACTTTAGGCCACCAAATCCCTACCCTATTTTACAAGGGGAGATTGCCTTGGAATTTCTTGGAAACTGACAGTCATAATACAGGGCACACTTCAGGAGTCATGTTAAGAGTGAGGCCTTCTAAGACCATATCAAAGATCATTAGTGTCCAGGGACTTCCCACATTCCTAACTAGTAGTTAAAACTCCTGTTTCATGTCAGCATCACACCGCCGGGACTGAACTTCTTCCTCCCAATTCAGATAGTAGCTTTTAAATTAAAACAACTTCAGTTTGGTTGGACATAATAAAGTATGACTTCATTATACAGATGAAATAAACACGAGAGGATGCCACCTAGACAGCCTCAAAGGCCAAGGGCTGCCCACATCATCAGTGGGATCACTTCCAAATCTGTTTTTATTATAACACTCAATAAATTGCATTTAATAATTCTATGATGTTTAAAATACTTAATAACTTTGTGCTAGGAGTTCTAGTCTATCTAGTTCTGGACTTAACATACCTCATTCTTAGAATATCATCTCAGAACCAAGTAGGAGAGTTTGAAATAAAGATTAGTGAACATATTATTTTTTAAAGATGTATATGACCCTAATCCTCAACTCTGTCACATAGATTATTTTATTTTTCACACAGGTGCACATCAACTCCTTATTCTTTAGTTATTAGTTATTTAGTTATTCAGGTAGCATCTGTAACTTTGTTCAGACTGAAGGATATATACCTAGAGGTTGATTGATGATGATGATAAAAATCACCCTACATCTGGAAAAAAATGTGTTATCTTTCTGTACTATATCAGTTGGCATACTTCCCATTTTTTAAAGTCTATACCATTATTAACAGCATCTAAACAGAAAAACACATATTGCTGATAGAATACCAGCCCACTATAAATAGGGCCATATGACAACCATTTGTAGCATGGTGTGGAGTATAAGGAGCTGGGAACCAGGGTACTTGTTTTCTATTCTTGGCTTTGCCATTAGCATGATCCTGGACCTCTTAGCTACTCGGAAGTCCTGTTTCCTCTTCTGTAAAATGAGGATTTGGACCAGATGTTCTTAAGGTCTCTTCTAGTTCTAAAATCTTGTTCATTTTCAGAATCCTCTTGGGGACTTTTAGTTATATTTGAGATCTGTTTATTTGGAAATTATTGGCCTTGAGGGAGATATTCAGTTGGGTGGAAGAATGTTGCTTTGGGCATTTTTATTGGTATTTTTAAATGTTAATACTGTGGTCTTTTGAAAAAAAATTGGACAGCAGACAAGATTTCAAAATATTCCTTTAGGGATTTAGCAGACACTGAAGATGAGGGATTGATGCCGTTCTGCCAGCAGCCAGCTTAGGAAGAATGGTTCCCAGCCATTGTTAAGGTACCAGCGTGTGTCAGTAGGTTTTCTGAATTCCTCTTAAAATCCTAGGTAATTAGTTATAGCTGCTACCCTGAAGCCTGACATGTCAAAGCCTTATCACCTTTGACTGAAAGAAGTGTTAAAGCCAAAGGAAGGTTGAATGCTATCACTTGCAAGTACCAACCAACTAGCAACTTTTGAACCCAGTTTATTTTAAAAATCAGATAAACGCTACAGAGTAAATGAAGGCACAATCATCATCAAGTGCTAATTTCTGCCATTTTGATTAAGTAACTGTTCCTAGTTACAGTAATATAATAACCAGTAGTTATTTTGTTATTGGTCAACTTCTAATGATATTAATGATTTTGTGATAAATGAAAGTTATTTCCTGCTATGATTATATGAATGAATAAATACATCTAGTATACATAATATTCAGGTTGATACCATGAAAATTTTTCTATAGCTTAATAACAATAGGTGGGAGGCATGGAAGTTTAACAGAGTTTTTTCCTCAATTTTTCATGATCTGGACCAAAATTTATCCTTCAGATATTCTGTTAAATGAGAGATTTACATGACAATTACTATTTTGGTGTCCCTAACACGAAGTAGAAAATTATTACCCTTGAGAGAGATATTCTAAACTTCCTTTCATAGTTGCCAGTAAATTGCTAAGAAGCCAGATAAATAGGAGATCCATAATAAGAGGTCGAAAATATGTGTAATTATTGCCATCTTTATTATCTTAGATTTCGATATAGTTGGGACTCTTGGCCTAATGAGGGGATAACAATATTGTAAAATCACCTACATTTAATTTTAGTGCTTTATTAACAAACCTTCACTAAACCTACTCTATTGTTTTATCGTGGCAAGGGGGTGACCCTGGATTCTTGAAGTCAGTGCCAGTATACCACAGTATCTGGCAGGTCCTTCCAGTTCAATTCAACAAATATTTATTAAGCTTCTGTGATTTGCCAGGCACTATGCTAGGTGCCGGCTATACAAAAATAAATGAATGAATGAGTACTTATTAAGTATTTGTTGTATACTAGCACTGTGCTGATCACTAAAGAGACGAGTACAACAAAGCATGATGGTGCCCATCCTCAAGGAGCTCATATTCTAACAGTAAGCACAGATGGGAGTGGTGGCCAAGGAAGAGTGTTTTTGTCAGGAATGTCAGAGGGATGGTGAGTGGAGTATTAGATTGACATGACTGACATGTTCTTTCCAGAAATAGTTATATGGATATTATTACTGTAATTAGTTATGGGAGAGGAAGAGGTAGGTTTAATAGGCATGGTAGCATGGCATGAAGAGGGCCCACATTAGCAGCAGAGTATGTTGGATTTAGTCTAGGCCAATTATGGTGAACATTTACCAGTCAAAAGTCCAGTGCCCCATGCAGGAGTGCCAGGTCACAGGTGGATACAACACAGGCCCTTATGGAGATTATCATTTAATAGGGGGATATGTTTGTACAGGGACAAAAATAACAATGTCATAAGAGATAGGTTCAGGCAAAGTACCATGAGAATTTAAGGAGGAAGAAATCATTTTCACATGGACATATCAGTTAAGTATTCATGGAGGAAGTAAGGTCTGAGTTGGGCCTTGAAGAAAGAACTGCCTCTGAGATTGTTGAGAGGGCATGAGGATTGAGACTTCGTGCATGGAGGACAGCATAAACAAGGGCACGGAAATAAAGAGGTGGGGAGAGGGGGAAGGGGAAAACGGATGGGAAATAGCTTCGTTTGGCTGGAATGTAGAATATGTGAAGGAAGTAAAATGGGATAAAGCTGGACAGGTTAGGTGAAACCAGGTTTGGAGGGTCTTGAAATGCTCAAGTAGGAATTTATACACTATTCAGAAGTTGGTTAGAGAGTCCTAGAAGTTTTTTTGAAGCAGAGTAACATGATCATAAAGGAAGATTATTGTGTGGCAGTATGGAGAAGGTATTGTCTGGGGGCAAGAAAACAATTGTGAGGCTATAAAAATAATCTAGATGATAGGAGTTAAAGGTCACATTGTTTGGATATATGGTGTGAAGAAGGAAGTCAGGTTAGGAGCCTGGATTACTGATAGCCAATAGCTGACATTTCTCTAGTTCTTTATAGTTTAGTATATCTTAAAAGTTTTATAAGGTAAGGCATTTTACAAACATTACTTCTTTTGAGCCTTCGAACAATCCTGTGAATAGAGACTAAGCAAAAATCTAATACACCAGGTGTCTGAGTTTTCACCATGTGAGGAACTCTCAACAAGGGAACAAATCTTAACCATCTTAGTGGAACAGTCCTAAAGAGTTGCTTGAGGTACATAGAAGTTAAAAGGCCCAGATTAATTACATCCTCAGTTACTTAGAGGACTGGCAGAGTTACTTGCTGGGCCACTCTCCATAGTATTTTTAAACCACGGAATACCAGAAAGTGCCCTAAGACTGGAAAAGGGCAAATGTCCCAATTTTCTAAAGAAGAAAGAGAACAGAGTGCAAACTACAGGCTTGTGAACTTGACTTTGATTCTTGGGAAAATTCTAGAATATCAATCATTAAAAGAAATAGTTGACAAACATTGTGAAAGAAAAATCATGATTACAAAGAGCCAGCTTGGCATTATCAAGAACAGGACATGTCAGACTAACCTCATTTCCTTTTTTTTTTTCCTTAAACAGGATTAACTAAACTCGTTGAAGAAAATGTTGTAAATATAATTTACCTAGATTTTAATAAAGTATTTGATAAAGTATCTGGACTTTTTTGAGAAGATAAAGAGATGTAGACTAGATGATAATACAGTGAGATGGATTCCAAATTGATTGGATGGCTGGATTCAAAGAGTATTTGTTAATAGTTTAATGTTAACATGGCAGGAGGGCCCCAGGAGAGTAAGTACCCCAGGGATCCCTGTGTGGCCTGCTGCTGCTTAACATTTTTATCATTGATTTAGTAAAGGCATAGATGGCATCTTTATCAGATTTGCAGATGATCCAAAGCCAGAAGGGATAGCTAACATACTAGATGATAGTCAAATGACCCAAAAAATCTTAACAGGCCAGAGCATTAGGTTGTATGTAATAAAATGAAACCTAGTAGGGATAAATGTAAAGTCTTAGGCCAAAAAGAAGATTTATTTGTGTGTATATGTCTCCTTCCTAAGTACAACGTGAGGGAGGCATTATACAATCATTCTGAAGTTGGCTACAGTTGTGGGTCCATAGGAGTCAGCAGTGTGATATGGCAGTCAGAGAAGCTAATGCCATCTTGGGCTGTATCAAGAAAGGTACCCAGGAATAGGGGTGTGTGTGTGTGTTGGGGTAAGGGAGTAGTCCCATTTGAATTCTACCCTTTTCAGGCCTCATCTGGAATACTGTGTTCAGTATTCAGTTCAGGCCACCATAGTTTGAGAAACTGATGAGCTTGGAGATCATTAGGATGAAGGCATCCAGAATGGTGAATGGCCTTGAGTTGTATAATATGAGGATCAGTTTGAAGGGACTGGGCATGTTTAGCCTACAGAAGAGAAGATTTAAGGGTGACTTTGTAACCATCCTCATATATTTGAGGGGCTATTGTGTGATGGATGGAGGACTAGACTTGTTCTTTTGGGCCTAGAGGGTAGAAGCAAGGGCAATTGGATGAAAGTTGCAAAGCAGATTTAGGCTTGGTGCAAGGAAAAATTTCCTAACAATAAAGAAGGGGTTTCCAGATGGTGGGTTTGCCCTTCTTGGGGCTGTTATGACCACTTATCTGGTGTTACAGTGTGGATCCCTTTCATGGGTGGATTGAACTAGATGGACACTAAGGTCCCTTCCAACTCTCAAGTTACATGATTCTATGACTTGCCCAAGCTGACCAAGCTACTAAGTGTCAAAAGTGAGATTTGAATCTAGGACTACTTACTCTAGGTCCTGTGCCACTATGCCACAGAAGATGTTACGAGAAAAATAATATCTAAGGAGATGGGCAAAATTAAGGGACAGACAGCTGTGCCACCTTCTACATGCAGTTTCCCCTGATCTGCCCAATCATTGGTGCTCCATTTTGAAATCTCTTCAGTTCAGTGTAAGTCCTGTGAAGTCAGGGACTGTTTTGTTTTTATATTTGTATCTCCAGCACCTAGCACAGTGTCTTGCACATTGTGGGCATTTGGTAAATGTGTTGTTGAACTGAATTGAGCTAGAGAGATAAGCAGGTTTTATTATGGAAGGTTGGCGAGTTCAGTTCTAGATCGAACTAGGTCATGTTAAGTTCAAGGTACCAGAAGTACAGTCTAATAGCTAGTTGGAAATGAAGGGTTATTATGAGGATCAAATGAGATAACATTTATAAAGCTCTTTGTAAATCTTAAAGTCTGGTATAAATTCAAGCTGCTATCATACGTAGAGGATTAGTGGCAGTTCTGGGAGAGGTTGAATACAGAGATCTAGATATGAGTGACTCTGTAGGCATGGGAGGGAGAATAAAAAGAACAGAACCTTAGGAAATATCCATGTTTTAGACAAGGGAGTAGAAGGAGGATAGACAGGTCAGCAGAGAACCATGAGAATACAAGTATCCCCACACACAAAGACAGTATAAAGGAGGTGAGGATGCTTATAAACTCAAACTCTATAAAAACTTTGGCCATCGGCCCTAGGAACCTAGCTAAGTTCCTAAGACATCATGAGACAAAATGCTCACCAGATGATGTTTGGAGCCTCAGTGTACCATTCATTAAGAATGTCTACTATGGCTTGGGGAGAGGGAACTGAAGTGTCTATAGGTGGCGGGGAAAGGGGATACCCACAGTGATGAAATCATAGTTGATTGCAATATTTAACTATTAAGATGAACGAAACATTTTTTCGTACTCTAGTCTAGCAGCACAAGTTAAAAAAAGTTCACACATGAGATGTTGACCCATTTAATTTTAAAATGCTATGCTCCTTTAAATAGGATATTTCTATTCTGGAGGAAAAGGTTTAGCCTTTCAAGTATGTAGTAGGGTATTAAGTATAAAGAAGATGGTATTCTTTATCTCCCATTAACATCCTATTCCAGTGCTTCATTGTGGTATGGAAGTGATCCTGCAGGTTCTTCCAGGTTTTGCCAAGCTAGTACCTTCATTATCTTAGATATAGATATAGTCAGGACTCTTGGCCATTATGTGGGAAAACTGTGTTTTAAAATGGCTGACATATGATTGTAGTGCCTTTTAAACAAACCTCCATTAAAGACCTACTCCCCTGTTTTATCCTGGCATGGGGTTGACCTTAGGTTCACTTTTCCAGTGCAGCACAGTATCTAGCAGATACTTCCCATGTGGTTTGCAAAGTACTGTGTTCAGCTCTGGGGATACAAAGATAGATGCAGCAGGCTCTTGTCTTAAGAAAAGACTTCAAGTATGGGTTCAACAATAGACTATATGTCTTAGAGTTAAGGTCAACCAAGCTCATCACTAGGTTGCCTGTGGGACAGTGAATGTTTTTGCTTTGGCAATTTTTAAAGACTATCTGCCAACTTATAAAGGGGTTGTAGTCTATATTGGAGGAGGCATACCGGTACAAAAAGTCAGGGGTGATTGAAATATTTCCTTTCTGCCTCAAGAGAGTAGAAAGGGCTTAAACTGTAGAAAACAGATTGAGATTAAATGCTTCCTAAGCACTGTGAAACCTTGAAAGTTAGTAACAAGAGAATTTGTACATTCTTTAGTTTCAAGACATTTATAAGACTGGTAAAGCTATCTGAAGACAGATAAGACCACACACACACACGCACACACGTTCGTATCCTTTCCATATCTGTGGTAACCATATTTTATGAGATTAAAATGTCTATCTCTCCTCCATTGTCCCTACTAAAAGAGAAGAGAAAGGTGATTGATCATTTCAGGCTGGGATTTGATTTTTCATTATTGTCCAAATGAACAGTAGAGTACACCAGTGCTCTGTTAGCACCATCTTTGAAAACCGGTATCATTTTCATATTACAGGGAGTCATCAGTAGGATTCTGAGGGAGGTAAAAGTCAGTAATACCAGAAAGTAAGCCCAAAGTCTGAAGCAAGCAGGAATGTGGTTCTTTTTTAAGTTGTTTTTATTTTTCAGAGAATTCTAATGTGGTCTTACCCCTGAGTGTCAGAAATGACTCATCTTAAAGGCTGTATGTAGAAAAATAGTTAAGAAATTATTTCAGTTACTTCCTTTTGTAAATATTTGTCCAACCTCTTATCTCTGCCTCACTGGCTTTAAGTGTGGTTCTCAGTCACACTGGAAGCTTGCAAGATACCTTGGGGTTTGCGCCCTAGTTTTTTTTTTTTTAAGGACCATGCCTTAAACCCACATCACTCTGACTATCTTTGATTGGCCAACAATAGGTCCCAGCCCAAGCCTCACTTGGTCACTGTTTGGACCCTGATAGCTCAAAGTGTAAACAACAATTGTTTCTATTTTGGCCAGAAACCCTGAAGGTCTTCCTCTCTCAGATAGATTTTTTTTTTGACTAGGTAAAAGGGGTCATTGCCTCATTTCTTCTTACCTAGCCTTAATCACTGAACGGGCATTGCCTCAGGCAAACTGGGAAAGACTTTAGCTGAAAAAGGCCAAAGTCTCCCACTGCACCTGGAGCCATGTCCAGTCCTCCTGATCTATATCTTGCTTGCCACTACAACCAAGTGGCTCCAGAGGAGAAAGTGAGGCTGGTGACTTTGCACAGCCCTCCTCCACTTAAATCCAATTCACTTGCAAGTCATGATATCACCTTCCCAATATCATGGTCCTCTTCAAGAATGAAGGACAAACAACAACAGCAACAACAGTCTCTTTGTGGTGCTGTTGCAAAACACAATGAAGACAAAGATGAGAGGCCACTGACCAGCCACACCTTACCGGGAGATGCTCTAAGGAATTAACATTGGTTGGATGTGTTTCATTTTCTCAGCATTAATTAAGAACTCAGTAAAGTCACTTGTTTGGAGGCCATTTCTGCTTGCTTCAAACTTTGGTTTGGTTATTTTTTTGCTATTGACTTTTACCTCCAATGAAATCCTATTTTGATATCTCATTGTGACATGACACTAATCCTGAGTTTTCAGAGATTTTGCTGGCAGAGCACAGGTTCTGGAAGGCTCTTTCCTCAAGCTAGAAAATGGCTTGAGTGTGGGCCCAGGGTCAGACTGTCCATCTAGGTAAGTTTAGAGAGATCTGTCTTATTAGGTGATAAATGTTTAGTGAGAGCAACTCTCAAAGACCATCTTCTAAGTCAAAGGTTTCCATGTACACCTTAAGGAGAAAAACACCCATGGATTAATGAAGTATTTATCTTTAAGACTTAGTATTTTCTATGCCTATATTACTATATTTCTATAATACTATATTTCTGTACAATATACTTCTTATACCTATATATTATAATATGCCTATAATACTATATTTCTGCACAATATACTTAGAACTTGAAGACTTCCATTAAATCCCTAGAATGAATTTTTTTTAGGCAAGGAAGTTTTGGTCTCCCCCAGGCAGTGTGATCTGAAAGACCCTGTGCTATATGGCATTTTGTATGCATGGCGTTTTGAACTTCCAAACTTGCCATTTGTGATCCGCAAATTCAAGGAGAAAAAATTAAGGGAAAAATAAATTTGAATTTAAAGACCATTAGACTTTTAAAAAATAATTCCTTCAAACCAAATCAGAATTTAAATGTAGAAATTCTGTTTTTTCATTATACAGGTACTTTGAAAAACAGTTTGAACTGTCAGAACAAACAAAGCTTCCAATGTTTCTTCACTGTAGAAACTCACACACTGAATTTTTGGGTAAGTCAGTAGCTTAAAACATAATTAAAGAACATTGCAAAAATAGTTTTATTACAATCTTTTTGTTTTTAATTCACAGACTTAATGAAGAAAAATAGAGACAGATGTGTGGGAGGAGTGGTAAGATAAAAATAATATTTAATATGCAATAATATAGTTGTTATGGGTGTTCCTCCCATATTTGAAGGCCTTGCAAAATGTGGAAATCCTTAGTTCATGAGTGACGTAAACACATAAATCTAGTGAACTGTGTACTCATTAATTATGACTGTTATTTAGGATAAAAAATTGAGTTAATTTTCTTGTTTGTGTAAAAATTCAGTGAGGTTTTTACAACCTCATTCCTGTGTGTGTGTGTGTGTGTGTGTGTGTGTGTGTATGCACATACATATATATAATCAGTTTAATGAACTGATAACTCATATTTACATATGCTTTTAAGTTTACAAAGTACTTTCTTAACAACCATTTGTGGTAAATGCTATAGCCCTTATTATCCCTATTTTGCAGTTGAGGAAATTGGAGTTCTTTGAATTTAAATGACTTGTTGATGGTCCCCCAGCCAATAACCCAGATCTCCTGACTCCGGTTGCAGCAGTCTGTCCACTATACTGGGCTATCTTCTCAACATTACCATAGTCATTATGTTTTATTATGAAAATCAGCTCACCTGAGTAACCTAAATATTAGACTTGAAATTGCTTAGTACTTATAGTTCTGATTGGCCATCTCAATTTCTCTCTTGACAGTATTGTCTTAACTTATAACTCTCTGACATTAACATTTTTAATAATAGCTAGGCATTTATATACTGGTTTAAAGTTTGCAAAGCTTATCTCATTTGATCCTAACAACATCCCTGGGAGATAGGAACTGTTATTATCTCCATTTTGCAGTTGGGGAAACTGAGGCAGACAGAAGTTAAGTGATTTTTACAGGAGCATACAGCAAGAAAGTGTCCAAGGCCAGATTTGAATTCAAGTTGGCCTGACTACAGACCCAGTGTTCTATTCACCGTGTCACCAGGTCCAACTAGAGAAACTCTAGTTTTTGAGCATGCATGAATCATAAATAGCACACATATATATACTGACCATGAATTAATAGCCACATCACCTTTGACTGATTTGCATAAGCGTTAACTCAGTGCTTCTTGCTTTTCTTGCATGTTTACTTTGATAATTAGCAGTTAAAACAAATTACATATTTCACTTACACCTCAAGAGGGGAATGGGCTTAAATCATTAATCATCCTTTGGCAAGGCAATAAATTAGAAAGAGCACTGGATTAGGAGTTAGGGAGCTTGCGCTCCAGTCCGGATTCTCCTTACTACTTCACTTGAGCAAGTCCCTACTCTCTCTGGGTCTCAGACTATTCATCTGTAAAACCAGAGAATTTGATTCTCTAAGGTTTATTCCAGTTTTACATTATTTGCTCTTTCCAGTGACACTGGCCTCCCTGCTCATTCCTTGAGTAAGACATTCCATACCTCTCATCTCCAGGCATTCTCATCTCCATCCTCACCGCTGCCTCCTGGCTTGAAGTCCCAGCTAAAATCCCAGCTCGTACAAAAGCATTTCCTAGTCTTCCTTAATGCTGGTGTCTTCCCTCTGAGATCCCTTCCAATTGTCCTTTATGGATCTTGTGTGTATGTAGTTGTTTGCATGTTGTCCCCCGCAATAAACTGTGAGCACTTTGCACAGTGCCTGGCCCATAATAGTATACTCTCAGTGCTTGGCTCCTCGTTTTTAAGAGTGCTTTCTCCCTTGCTTATCTAACCACCGAGGAAGCTTATAAGTATTACCCAGATACCATCTCTTACATCTTCCCCACCCCTTTTTAATGGAAGCTATTTTGTTGCCTCCTAACTGGTTCCAATGTCAGTCTTCTCCAGTTTATCCTTCACTTGGCTAACAAAATGCACAGATCTGACCCTGTTGTTCTCGTTTAAAAACCTGTAGCAGAGATGGGTGGGTGTGGGTGTGTGTGCACACGCGTGCACTTTTTTTTTTCCCAGTTACTGGTCTACTAGAAATACATGATTGGGCATTGCAAAGTTTTGAGTTTTGATTGACAACAGTGGTGACACATACCAGTTTAGTTGTAAAAACATAAAAATTTTAAATAATACAAAAAAGTCCCCCCTCATCCCTTTTTAATCAACTTCGTTCATACAACAGTATTCATTGACAGACCTAGTCATTAGTCAAGTATGATTGAATCAAGGAAGATACTAGGATTTAACAGAATTATTCTCAAGAACTATGGATTATGTTGTTGGTCACACCACTTATGCAGCTATGTGACACAGGATGTAGAGTGCTGGACTTGAAGTCCGGAAGACCTGAGTTCTAATCTTCCCTCAGACACTTAGAAGCCCTGTGGCCTTGAGCAAGTCACTTAGCTTTTTCAGCCTTAGTTTCCACATCTCTAAAATAGGGGTGATAGCAGCACCTCTTTTATGGTTATTGTGAGGATCAAATGAGGGATCATGTGAAGTGCTTTGCAAACCTTAAAGCTCCATATAAGTACTATTATTTCAATGCCAGGTCCATCTTTACATCACCAGTGCTCTAACTCTTAGCCTCAATTTCCAACATCATGAGGTAGAATATACTTTTGCAGCTCCAGGTAGATCCAAACATTATCTAGTGCTGGGCCTCAGTTTCTTTATCTGTTAAATGAGGAGTTTAGGTAGATGATGATGTTAAGATCTTAATCCAGATTATTATAGATCTTAATCTATGACCCCTTATATCTATTCTCCTTTCAGTGTCTTGTTATTCATTCTTCCTTGGAGATAGTTTGGGAGCTGTCTAGAACTGTAGCACAGCACGGTGATTTACAAGGGAACCTATTTCATGAGATCTGACCTCCCTTTTTCTCTTCCTCCATTGTTGGTTTTTTAAAAGGTTTTCATGGTCTGGCTACTGCCAAAATGACCTATTTGCTGTTGGATGACATTCCATCTCCCCTCTCATGCCTTTGCAGAGGCTATCCTGTGGCCCTGGAATGAGCTGCCTCCTACAGGAATCTGATTGATTTCTCTGCATTACTAGTGTTCTCTCCCTGGAAACCACTTTGTATATAGTTTGTATTTCATTTTGTGTGTATACGTTTCTGCCTTTGTATCCCCAGCACCTAGTACATTGCCTGGCATATACACCGTAAGCAGTGAATTAATGCTTGCTGAATGACTCACTCCTTGAATTTAAGAATTTTAAGAGTGCTGTTTTCTTTAAAAGAAAACCCTTGCTAAAGCAGCCACAATACTAAAACTATTAAATACAAATTCACATTTCTTTTGTAAAATCTTGTTTTCCAGAAATTGAAAGAAACCAGTCAGTATTTTCATATACATAAATCTTGATTCTAGGTACATTCCTTTGATGGCACAAAGGAAGCAGCAGCTGCGTTAATTGACATGAATCTTTACATAGGAATTAATGGTTGGTAAGTTTAACATTATGCTCTTAAAATCATTTATACTAAGATTTCATAAATTGTTTTAAAGTGAGCTACTTATTGATGAATTTTAGATGTAGGTGGGTTCAATTAAAAGAAGTCTTTTAGTTGCCATTTATTTTTAATTCATAATTGCTTTAAGAATCCTTTGGCTTGAAGTCATTCATTATGATTTATTTATTAATAAGGAGTCAGTAAAGTGCTTAGCTTGGAGTTAGGGAAGAAGAACACGAGATTTATAATCAGAACACCGCAGTTCCAGTTGCAGCTCTTCTCCCATTTGTGTGACCTTGGACAAGTTTCTTAACCTCACTGGGCCTGTTTCTTCACCTGTAACATGTAGGTAGACTAGATTACCACTGAGGTTCCTCCCAAATTTAAATCTTTAATCCTAAAACCTAGGCTCCAGTTCCATTTCCAGTGCTTACTAGCTATGTGGCTCAGTCATGTTCTTAGAACTCTGTTTAAGACAAAGAAGTTGTGATGTGAATTAGTAGGAGTACCCACATAGGGACTGCACGGGTCCTTCAAGTTTTTGCGTAATTCATAAATACTTTTAAAATAATTAAAATTCTCTTTACTAAAGTGTTGTGATTTGGATTTTTAAGTATTTTACTTTTAGGGGAAAAAATTGCCTTAGGCTTGTTCTATCAAGTACAGTGTTTTCAGTTATACCAAAGTTTTATGAAATTTTAGGCCACCAGAACATCAGCTCAATTTGGGCTCTTGCCTTTTATAGTTCATCTGTAGCCTCAAGGATGGATCACATTTAAAATCATTTGTCATTTAAAGCTCTTCACAAGTAGGCCCTTCCTTATCGTCCTACTTATTTTATACCCTCTGTGACCGCTACAATGGTCTTTTTACTTTTCCTCACAGAGTCCAGGCCACGTCCTCTCAGGTGTCCCAGCCTTGGCATCTGCTCTCTTCCATTCCTAAAACCCTTACCCTCTTCATGTCTGCTTCTTAGAATTCCAGCTCAAATGCCACTTTCTGCTACAGTCCATCTACTCCCTATGTATCTTGGGTCGACCTATGGATTTACATATCGTCTCCCCCACGAGAATGGAAGCTCCCACAGGGCAGGGTCCATGTTTCCACCTTTTTTTGTACCCCTAGGGCTTAACACAGTGCCTAATACATAATAAGCATTTAAATTCTCATGGACTGACTGAAAAGGGGTAAGCTTAGGTAGCTAGCTGCCCCCAAGGTAAGTAACTGTGAGGGCCTGAAGTAAATTGGAAGGCTTGATTCTAATTTTTATACTTAAAACGGCTCTCCTGGTCTTGCATTTTAAATTGCAATTTCTGTTCAAAGTGTTTTTAAATATTCTTTTTCCCTAATCATCTTGGGAAATAGATGTAGTAGTGGTATTGCTGGGTCAAAGGGCAGAGGCACTTTGATAACTCTTTGGAGTTACATTAAGATCTTATTGATGCTCTTCAGTTCAGAAAAAAAGAATACCAGGTAACTTCAAATGAGTTCACTTTGTCTTTAAATTTGTAACTACATTTGGAATTTGTACCTTTACTCCAAAATGCCCTCGGGGGTTGTCAATCCAAGTACCATTAATGCCAGGCACTGGAGATACAAAACCCCAAAACAGTCCCAGCCTTCAAGGCAAATGCTACTAGTTGGTTTTTAAAAACTCGTGACTTCCTTACTCCACCCAAACCTAACTGTAGGGTCCTGCTGTCTTTGAAACTTAAAATTGTTTTACTAGGTCTTATCATGATGGAGGAAAATATATCTCTACTACAATGTAGGATCACAGATTTCGAGAAATAGGAGACTAATCTTCTCATTTTACATAGGAAATTGGTGCCTAGAAAAGAGAGATGGGTGAATATGTTCAGAGACCCCTAGGTCATAGGGCTCTTTCCAGCATACTCTTTCTTGGTATATTCTCATGTTTATATCCTCTAAGCAGCTAATCAGTCTAACTTTTAAAAGGTTTTCAAACACCCTTCATAAGCTATGGATTCAGATTGTCCAGAGACAGTAATGATATAATGATACCAATAGTGGCTAACATTTATGTTATCTAATATGATTCCCACAACAACCCTGTGAAGTCAGTGGGATTACTCCCATTTTCAGATAAGAAACGGGGCTTAGAGAGGTTGGGTGATGGGCCCAGGGTCACACTGCTAATAAGTCTCTTAAGCCAGAATTTGAATTCAGTTCTTCCTGACTTCAAGCCTAGCACTGGGAGATAGAGCACTGGCCTTGAAGCCAGAAAGACTCAGGTTCAAGTCACTTAATCTCTCAATGCTGGACAACTTTCTTAAGACTGTAAATTGCAGAGAAGGTGCTGATCCAAACTGATAGAGAGAATTTCTTATGGGAAGTTCTCTATACTAATGAAATCATAAGCCCCTGGCCCTGTCCTTTAATCATTTGAGTTATGCTACTTTGCTGTACTTCCTACAAAAATACCAGTCGACATAGCACTCCTAATCCATTCTTAGTACTGTTTTTGTCCTTCCCTTCTGAGACCTTGACTCCGTGCCTGGTATAGTTAGAGTTAACTAAATCTGTGTTGACCAAGTGTAACATGCAGTTTAAGCTTATCCAGTGCCACTTGTGCAGAGCCTTTACTGACCCCTGGAACTGCTTAAAGTTCTCTCCTTGAAATTATTTTGTGTTCGTTTATGTATTATTACCCTAATACAGTGGATGCTCCTTGTTGTTTTTGTAGCACAGTGCATATTCATAGTAGGTGCTTGATAGATATTTGTTGAATTAAAAGTTCTATTTTGATCCACTAATCTCCCTTGTGACTAATATCTTTTGCAAAATGGTTGAGACCAGTATACTTGTAGGGCTATGGAAAACAATATAACCACCTGGCCCACATAGGAGTTGACCATTCAGATTGGCTCAGCAAATTGTAGGTAATTCAAAATTATTTAACTGGTTTTAGTTACACTGTAACTGAAAACTATCTAAGGGCAGCTAGGTTGCACAGTGGATAGGGCACTGGGCTTGGAATAAGGAAAACTCATCTTCCTGAATTAAAATGTGGCCTCAGACTAGCTGTGTGACCCTGGACAAGTCACTTATTCCTGCTTGTCTCAATTTCCTTATCTGTAAAATGAGCTGGAGAGGGAAACAGCAAACCACACCAAGTATCTTTGCCAAGAAAACCCTAGAGGGAATCACAAAGAGTCAGATACAATGGAAAAATGACTGAACAGTTGAAGTTACACTATAAAAATCAAACTCCTATCTTTCCTAAGTCTTAGAGGCCCCTAGTTTAGATTTTTTTCAAAAGTAAGATTTTACTGATAAGCTTTTCAGATGCTAAAGTAGGGAAAAATGTGTGTGTAGTACCTGGCAACTGAAACCTTGTAATGAAATGGAATTTATGCTACTTTGGGAATAATGTTGTGTGAAGAGATCACTCCTGTTATAAATAACTCTCCTTTCTTAGTTGAAATTTACATAATTTTTTTTTATAACTTTTTAGCTCACTGAAAACTGAGGCCAACCTGGAAGTGTTAAAGTCAATACCTAGTGAAAAATTAATGATAGAGACTGGTAAGTTGGCATTTTACTTCCAACTTCTATTGCTTTTAATAAAATTAAGATTTAAAGAAAAAAGTAGTTAGTGGAAAAAATGTATTTAATACTCCAAGCTTACTGTTAAAATATAACTAAAGAATAGCACCTGTCCTGAAGCAGCATGGCACAGTGGAGAGAGAGCTGGCCTTGAGCCAGGAAGCCTGGGACCTAGATCCCACCTCTGTTACATAATGGTTGTATGTATAGGCCAGGTCACTTCACCTTTCAGTGTGCCAAAAAGCTCTGTTGCAGAGCCTACAGTTATCTACAATGGAAATAGGAGTTTACACAGAGAATTTCCTAAGCCAATGAAATCATAGATACCAACCCAACTTTCTCCCCTGCCTCTCCCCAAGAAAGTGTCCATAGGCACAGTAAATACTCATTTTTTTAACCACATGCCCATCTTGTAAAGCTAAATGCCTTTTATCTGCTATCAATTTCCTATTTTCAGCTGATTGAGGTTTTTATGCTTATGCACTTTAAAAAATGGATTACAAGAAAGAATGGTAAAAATCATGTTTACATTAATTAGGCTTGATGTTAAAAGAAGATATAAAATTTTTTTGTTTCACTAAAAACCAAAACTGTAAGAATGAACATTTCAAAGTAGTCCATCATAAGGCAGATAAGACCAAATAATTAATCAGAAATCTTGTTAGTAAATTCCTCAAACAAATGAGAGTAGAATCTAAACATGACACACAAACACACAAACCCTAGACACCAAACACCAAGAGGATATCATAATGCCTGGCGGTTTTTTATTAAAAAACAAAAAAACCCAAAAAACTTCCTTTGCTCAGTTACTGAATGCCACATCTCAGGGATATTTATACAATGTACTAACCATAATGATTTATTAAAGAAAGATCTCTTTCATTAAAACCCTGTTATGATACTGTGGGTTCTCAAAGGCTAGACTAGTAAAACACAAGCTCTAGCAGCACCTACACAAAGTGGAAAGGAGTTTGAGACTTGGTCTGTCTGGAAATCAGTTCAAAGATCACCAGGTTGACTGTAAAATTGATAAAAAATTATCTATTTAAAGTCATAGAGTGGTTAATACCTGCATTGGTGGAGTGTCTCTATCAAATTACTTAAACAAGTGACACAATGGACAGTTACTGAACTTGGAGTTAAGAAGACCTCCTGTGTTCAAATGCTACCTCCTCAGACACTAATAGGTCAAGTTTCTTAACTTCTCTCAACCTCTTTCCTCTCTGTAAAATGAGTATAATAGCAGCTTATATAAAAATACACTTCTAGCTCATAGAATTTTTGTGAGGATCAAATGAAATAGCACATACAGCTTTGCAAACCTTAAAGCACTATAAAAATGCTATCATTCTAATAAGTATTAAGGCCAATAACAAAGATATCGATAGTAGCTCCAACATCTCAAGGATCCTCACAGTTTTTTAGCTCATTGGGCGTCTTAGTTTCTAATACAATCCAAGTTATATAATAAGATTTCTTATTAAATGGTCTATGGTTTTAATATTACCTTTTCCAAGCTTATTTTAGAAGTTAAGTGATAATTTGAAAGTGCTCATGTTGAAAAGCAAGGTTACCTTCTAAACTGTAAAGATGACACAAGTTGTAGAACAATAATGAAACAAAATTTAACATTTTTATATCTTTTTGCACCACATTAGATGCTCCTTGGTGTGGAGTCAAAAATACTCATGCAGGAATAAAATATGTAAGAACTTTATTTCCCACAAAAAAGAAATGGGAAAGTGGGAGTTGTCTGAAGGACAGAAATGAACCTTGTAACATTATGTAAGTATGATCACTTGTATTGGATAAATAAGCCATTGGTAGGACAATATGTTGTACTTGATAATTTATCATTTTTAAGTGAAAACTAATTGGACAAAGTCCAGCACCTAAAACTCTGTTGAACAAAATGATCAGGCCAAATTAGTAACATATTTGAAGAATTTGCATCTTAACTTCTTTCAAATAGATCTTAAAGAGGAGCAAACTAATAAGTCTTATTCTGGCTAACATAATCTAGTGCTTTGAAGAGGGAGGAGAAAAAATTAACTGTAACAACTTGTAGCACTTTAAAGCTTACAAAATGTGCTTTATATACATTAGTTCATTTAAGCCCTGCAACACAATGTGTGAAAATCAAATGTTGAGTTGGCAATCACATCCCTCTATATGTGACTTTTTCCAGTGACCAGTTGATAAATATTACATGGTGCAGTGGTTCCCAACAATTTTCATTCCATGAACATCTTTCAGCAACCAAAAACTGTTGTGAACCCCCAAGGTAATTTAATATACTACATAATATTTTCTACAAGTGTTTAACTGCTTAAAGTGCCATTAAAGAATTTTTAGTTGGAAGTCTTGGACCATTGTCATGAATCCCCACCAAATGGCAACCAGTGATGATGTAGAAAGGACACTGGGTGTGGAGGTAGAAGACCCAGGCTCCAGGGCCACCTCTACCAACTTACTGATTATAAAGCCATAGGCAAGTCATGTTATTTCTTTAAGGCCTCAGTTTCTCCAGCTATAACATAAAGTTATTGGACTACGTCCCCTCTAAATCCCTTCTAGGTCTTAATCTGTGGTCTGACTGATATACATAGTCACATTTTTTATTGTAAATGAAACCAGAAGACAGAAAGTTTAGTTCTATGAAATGATGCTACATAGACCCTTCTAGAAGAGGAAAGTGTTTCTTCATGGGCAACAAACTTTTTGTTAATCTTAGCTGCTAGCACTCATACTCAGCATAAAGCAAATAAACCATCACTGAGATAAGTATTGCTTAAATACTAGAAAATTTTTCAGGAGTAAAATAGAAATAGAAATTTTTCAGAAACTTCTAACTTAAGTAAGCATGTACCATGATTAAAAAGTTTCCACTGTCTTAGAATTTTAAGAAAAGAATTTGATTTAGCATAACAAAATGCAGTTTTAAAGCCTCTTCTCAAATAAGGTGTATTCACACACATTAAAATTATGCAAGAATCTTAGATTTTGCCAGAGAGATAAATAACCAAGTACTAACAATCTGTAAGTATCAGTAGCAAGTGGGGGTGGGGGGAACCAGGAAGATAATTCATTTATTTTAGATGTTTGGTAGCATCATGGTGGATATGCTGTGCAGAGTTCAGATGGAAGGATTTCTCTGTAAGGGGCAAGGTCCTTCAAGTACTTCTGATGCTGATGTCAATTATACCGAGTGCCAGAATACTACAAAACCTCCTTAATCAAATCAATCATTATTCCAAAAAAGTTGACCTAACTGCCCAGACTGAATAAACGAAGTGGCTAAAAATTTGTATTGCCCTGATTCTAACGTGAATCCTATTGGCCCATTAATTTAACAGCTGGACAGCGAACTTGTACCAGCATTGAAAAAGGTATCAATATGGATCTCATTTGGAAGAATGTGCAGCACTTGGAATAATTCCAAGCTGTTTGCCTCTGCAAAAAACCCTTTTTGACATTTTCTCAGTTTAAAAAAAATGTACCTCATTAAACCATTTCAGAAAAATCAAAACTGCCAGTAATCCAAAAACACATGATCAGTCAGTTCACAATTAACAAGCATTTAATTAAGCACCTACTATGTGCCGGGCACTTTGCTAAGTGCTGGAAATAGAAAGAAAGGCAAAAGACAGTTCCTGCTCTCAAGGAGCTCACAGTTTAAGGGGAGAGACAACATGTAAATAACTATATACAAACAAGATATATACAGGGTAAACAGGAGATCAACAACAGAGGAAAAACTTTTGTATTGACAGGGATCCAGAAGGGCTTCTTGCAGAAGTTTAGATTTTAGTTGGGACTTAAAGCCAGAGAAGCAGATAAGGAGGGAGAGGATTCCAGGCTTGTGGGACAGGCAATGTAAAATGCCTGGAGTTTGGAGATGGAGTGTTTGTGCAAGGAGCATAGGGGTGAGGGGACTGAAGTATGAGAAAAATGGACAGGTAGGAGGCCAGGTTGTAAAAGGTTATGAACACCAAATGCTTTTAAATTTTAATTCTGGAGATGATAGGGAGCAACTAGAGTTGGTCGAATAGGGGAGTGACATGGTCAGACTTGTACTTTATTTAATTTGACAGCTGAGTGGAGAATGGATTAGAATATGGAGACATTTGAAGCAGACAGATCAACCAGCAAGCTGTGAGTTGTGAGGTGATGAAGGACCTGCACTAGGCCACTGGCAGCGTCAGAGGAATGAAGGGACTATATAGGAGATGTTAGGAAGGTTGACAGGACTTGGCAATAGATGAGGTGTGGTTGGTGAGAGTGAGGAGTCAAGGAGGACACATCGATTATGTACCTGGGTGACTGGGAGGATGGTGGTGTCCTCAGCAGTTACAGGCAAGTTCAAAAAGTGGGCAGTTTTGTGCGGGGACAGAGTTCAGTTTTGGATATATTGAGTTTAAGATGTCTGAGAAGACAGATATAAAAGTATGGAGGTTAGGAGAGTGATTAGGCCTGGGCTAGTTCATGATGGGTGTTAAAATGGGTTTTCAGAGTATTATACTAAAGTGACGTTAACTATAAAAGGAGCGTAAAATATACCCTTTTAGAAGCAGCTAAGTGACAGTTAAGAGTGCTGCGTCTGAGGAAGACAGATCTGGTCTCTGGACTCTTACTAGCTCTGTGATCCTGGGAAAGCCATTCAGTCACTGTCTGCCTCGGTTTCCTCAACTGTAAAATGTGGCTAATAATAGCACCTCCCTCCCAGGGTTGTTGTGGGGATCAAATGAAATAATCAGTGCCTGGCACATAGTAAATGCTACATAAATGTTAATTGTTAATTATTATTCCCTCCCTAGCCTCCTTTTAGTTACATGTCTGGGGGGTAAAAAGTAGGTGGACCAGAATAGGGAATGCAGAACAGGTGAACCACCTGAGTGATGTAGTTGAACATTAAAGAATTATAAAGGAATTAACAGAAAAATCACTGAATATTTAGAAGTAAAAGGGATATTTGAGATCATCTGATTCAATCCCCTCACTTTAAAGGGGAGGAAACTGAGGTCCTGAAAGATGAAATGCTTGCCTGTAAGTTCATATAATGCAACTGTTAGAACCTGGAGTGGAACCCAGGACTTCTAGATTCTATATCTGCTGCTCTCTCAGATAAAAATTGCACAGAATGAGAAAGGGGAGGGAGTTGTTCTCTACACAAACCTGTAAAAAGCATGGATCCCCATAATTGAGACTAAAAAAGCTTCATCATACTTAAAGAGTTTATACCATTTTAAATGGACAAATCTTCCAATTTCATGGATCTGTACAAACAATTTAAATGTGGAAATGCAGCAAACCAATTTTGCTTTCATTTCATTTAACTTGGCATAACTAGTATATACATATACATTGAGTTTGGTTTTTTCCCCTCAAGTTATATTTTTTTTCCATATTGTAACAACAATCACAAAACTTTAACCAGGAAACCATTACTATAGTTTATACCAGTGACAAAAATAGAATAAATGCTGGGGCAATTCACACCTCAAATGTAATGAGTTTTATATCAATCAGCAAGCATTTGTTCAGGCTAAGTGCTGGGATACAAAGACAAAATGAAAAACAATCCCAACTCCCAACCCCCACCCCCCTTCAAGTTTACATTCTCTTCAGGTTCCCAAGCTGTTCAGAATATAGTTTCATGGGAAAATCTGACTTGCACTAGCAAGACTGAAGTTGAATGATCTTTTATGAGTTTAAGTTATATATACATGGACTTCTCAAAAGTGTAACTATGTAAAGTCCAATTCAAAGTTTATCATATTTGTAAGGGATTGATATTTATGGAAAGGTATAGTTTATGAACTCAGAAAAAAAATAGCCTTAACTCAGCAGTTCTCCAGGTGTGGTCCAGGGACCAAGAAGCTTTTCAGGAGAGGGTCTGTGAGGTCAAAATTATTTTCATTTACCAAGTCCTTTTAGTTTCTAATACAGTAAATATCAATAGATATGACCCATATAAACAAAACCTCTTTTGGGAGAGCCATAATAATAAAGGGATACTGAGACCAGAAAGTTTGAAAACCACTGGATTTTTTTTTTAATTTTATAAAAAAAGGCTTTCTACATAGGTCCTTTCAGATTTAGGGCATGGGGCTTCACATACAGTGTAGAAACAGCTTGCCCACATCTAGTTATTTCATCATGGAGGCTGAGCCCTGAGTCTCATTCTTAGGGAAGAGGAACTTAACCCTGGAGTTATCCTGTAAGTTGACATAGCTCACCATTAAAAACTTTGGAAGCTGTACTATAAAACCAGTAGTAAAACCTTTTAGTAGGTAGCTCTACCTGCTATTTTAGTTGTGGTTCTTCCTAGTTACCATGGCAGTTTAACCAAATCATTTTGGCATTAGAATTATTTATATCCTATATCATTGAAAGCTGTCTTAAGTGAAATTTCATTGTGTCATATAAGTATCCTTATGTAGAGACAGACCAAATGATAGGTTGATTTGGGCCAAAGGTATGGGGATTGGTGGCACCAGTGGATACGTCTCTAATAGAATGGCACAAGGCTTTGTACCTCACCATATTCGGTTCAGCATTTTAGAGGCTCAGATAGCATGTTTCTGTTTGGGAGTACATAACACAAAGGTAAGAGAGTTAGTTAATAAATACACTGAGTGGCAAGTCAGGAACCCAAAAGAGATGAATTATTGTTCAAATGTAATAAGATGAAATCTGATAGGGACAGATGTAAAGGACAACTTTACAGCTAAATAATCAACTGTACAAGTACAGGATGCAAAAGATTTCAGTATAAACTGAAGTTCAAAAAGTTAACACCATTATTATGATCTTTGGCTATGCTTAAAAAAAAACTATCCAAGAGTGAGAGAGGTTATAATTCTGTTGTATTCTGCCCTGGTTCAACCACATCTGCGATATTAAGTTCAGTTCTGGTGCTTTATTTTAGGAAGAACATTAATAAACCAATGTGCAGAGGTGGACCAAGATGACAGACTTGAAATGTCATTGGGGGATGAATTGAGGGAACCAGAAATATTTAGATTCAAAAAAACTTAAGATTTATATTTGAAAGGCAGATAGAAGAAAGTTTAGAATTGTTTGCTTGCCCACCAAGAAGAGCAGAAGCTGGATAATTACTTGTCAGATATGTGATAGAGGAAACTGCTCTATCATGAATTAGATTTACTAATCTGAGGCCCTATCACAAGTTCATAGAATCTATGTAATCTGTCCCCTCCTTGACTTTACAGATCAGGAAACGGACACCCATTGTCATGTAGATTATGAGTTGGAGAGCCATGATCCAAAGCCATGTCTTCCCAACTCCAATCAAGGGCTTTCCCTTCTATGCAAAACTGTCCTTTCTTACATGATAGTAAGGTTCTATTTCATTCCCCTTCTAAACTATGAAAACAATTTGTACCACTCATAAGACACTGCAGAAACACACAAGTGTCTATGTGTTTATGTCTTTATCTATAGTTACATCCAATTGTTTGAATACTCCCCCTGCAAATACACACACACACACATACACACACACACACAAAACAATCCTACTAAACTATATAAACTGTTTAAGGAGAAACATTGGGTGATAACATCTTTGAACACCCTATCCCCTGCATTTCCCTTGAGTCTCAGGGGATAAAAAAAATTTAAGGGACATTAGAGATCATCCTAGAAATGTCTTTTTTATGGGTAAGCAAACTTAAGTCCAGTGAGTTTAAGGGACTCATCCAAGGGTGACTGTGATGAGCCTTAAAGAAAGTACTTACAAACCTGCAAACTGTGCCACCGGCAGTAATATTTACCTAGAGTTCCATTCAACTGCTTGAATACCTCCCCCTTGCAAAGAAAATACTTTCAAATACCATACAACATAAATATTTGTTAATAAGCAAACATGAAGGAAGCTAAGATGTATATAGGAGGTCCAGTTTAAAATGTAAGAAATACTTTGAGCACATCGGTTCAACTGATTGTTCAAGACCCAGACAGTTCATGTTTAGTACTGACAACTCATAGGTTTTTGTGCCATTCTTAAAGGACAAACACTAATTTTAGTCCTCTTCTCATAACCGCTTGGTGGAAAGATGTCTATTAGAAGGACAAAAAAAACTAAAGGAATTTAGATAGATTTCATTTTTTATGTTGAAAATTAATTTAACCAGTTCTAAAATCACTATAATATTACTTTGGAAAAATGACAGAGCTGGCTGCTGCTTCTGCTGGTAGGAACTAGAATAAAGTTAATAAACAGGTCTCTCTCCCTGGAAGTATGGAAAAACAGGAACAAGAACACAGCCCTAAATACCACTTCCTTAATTGCTTCAAATAATTATAGACTCTATATGGCAACTGCTCTTCATAAATTTTGCAGGAAGAGTTTTGGTTTTTGGTTTTTAAATAAGACAATCACTTGTTTGGCAAGGGAAGGATACTTTTTAAAACTTATCCTCAGTTCCTTTTATTCACTGGGCTGGTTCCAAGGCTGATTCCAAGGCTGACATAGGAAGGTGGATTATATGCTTTTCTTGGGAGTCCAGGGTTCAATTCAGATTATTCTTAAGACAGTCTTTTGTACCTCATTAACTGCTCCTTTCCCTATCCCACAGTTTTTAAAGTGTATCAGTCTTGTATTTGAGATTATTAGACTACTAAGAATGGAATTTAGTTCTGAATAAAGGTTTAGTAATACGCTTAATGAGTACCATTATAAGTACAAATACTAAGTTCAATTTTGAAATCAAACCAGAAATGCTAACTAGTTGATAAGATTCTTTTGTGTTAAAGAGACAAAGCAAATGGCTTTCTCTCTCTACAAAACTTATTATTTGTATACTTAATTTTTTAAACTTAATGCTTTAAATTTTTACTCATCTCCTGGGATGGGGGGGTTTGTATGTTTTTCAGTCAGATTCTGGAGATAATGGCAGCAGTAAGAGATGATGACCCACTTGAATTGGCCAATACACTATATAACAACACCATTAAAGTCTTCTTTAAAGATATGTAAAGCAGCCATTTGTCATATGTGTTTCATTGTGTATAAAACTGAATGGTAAAACTGTAAACCTTTAATAAAAATATGAAACTTATCTAAAGAAGTATGTTTGTCATAATTCAGTTCGTTCTTTTTTCCTACAGAAATGAATCCACCAAATGTTTTAAAACAAAAAAATCTAATTTAGGATTATAATGAATCTCTTCTAGAGTCTGAAAAGGCAGTTTTTTCCATAAATGCTAAATACAAAATTGCTATGTCCATGCAACTTTATGACATAATTCCATTTAGAATACATTGAAGTTACTATACCAAAGCTTACTTGATGAAAGCCCCAATTTTTTTAACATAGCCCCTTAAGAAACTAAACTTCAAAACACAGGTCAAGGTAAGTGCTACCTAAAAATTGAACAGACATTTCTATCAGTTACATTCTAGGAAGTTTATTTTCTTGGATTTTAAGACTACCCCATGTGTGGTTCTTATATCCTTAGAAAACACTTGCTCATACTTTCACTTTAGTCTGTAAAATATCTTAAGTTTTTTAGGGCTAGATAACTCATTGTAAAGGATGCTTTCTTGCATTTTTACTATCCATTTCAATGAGAAAACTGGGGTCCAGAGCTAGCACATGTGTATCTTTGGCACAGTTGACGCACTGTATGAACATTACATCTATCAAAAATTTTTTTGTCCAACTTTTGTCTTAAAAACATGTGAAAACGTTTTATTCTATGTACAATAATGTACACAAATTTAAATAGGTCACCAAAGAGACCAGCAGTAATTAAAGAGGTATATTTACAGTAGCACATCACAGTAAACGGAAAACCATTCACAGACTCAACATTGATACTGTTTTTGTGCTTGGTTACACACTGAAGTGAAGTATTTTACTCCATTTTTGTTGAACTGAATTTTAAACAAATACCTCAGTGATTAATAAATGCCATTTTAATCAGTCAGTATCATCATTAAGAGATTCTTCAGCTGTTGTGTCTGTGTGCTGAATCACTCCATTTCTTTCATGTTGAACATCATCATCACAATCGGTACTGTCATCTTCATTTATGTCCCTGTCAGATTCAGCAGCGGCAGCAGCTTCTCTTACAACTTGCTCAGGATTTTCATTGGGTGAGATAAACCCATTGTTGTTAGATGAGTTTGCATTTTCCTTCACATCTTCAATGTATACTTTTTGATGGCACATTGGACAAGTATCTTGAATATACAGCCATTTCCGAAGGCAAAGTGCATGGAAGTAATGATTACAAGGCGTAATACGAGCAGATGTTGTAAACTCATGATAGCAGATTGCACAGACATCATCTATTTCATGTAAGCGGCTCCCTTTTATTTCAGGAAGTGAATTAATTTTCTTAACAGCAGTTCTACGATTGATAAATGTCTTCCAGCCATTCTTTGCTTGTAAGTAGATGTTAAAATATGCATGTAAGCACATCATGCAAGCCCGAATTTTACTTCCTGACTCAAACATCATGGTATAAGCCCCGTTTCCAAACATAACCACTCCAAATATAAATTCAATAATATTGCCTGTTGAACGAACGTAGTAGACGTAATCATCAAGCTTTTCCCAGAGGACATTATAGTAGCCATCAATCATGAATAACGTATAAACAGTAAGAGATACAATTACTTTTAAGCAAAGTTCCACACAAAATGCTGTAACTGCAAACAGCCACGTATTTAGTGCATAATGATGCCAGAGAATATAACTGAGCAAAATTGGAAGAATAAAAAGACAAGCAGAGACGAAGAGCACAGGAAAATGTCTACGAAAAGATGACACATGAGAGGCACTGAGAGACATTAACACGGGGTCTGTCATTCCATGGATGAAATGTAGGACTGCAGTTAATAAAAGGCACATGTTTCTACTTAGGCGAACAAGTCTTTCTTCTGGCCTTAACCCACTTAAACCTGTCTGCAGAGCCAAAATAAAAAACAAAACAGGTGCTACAAAGCCAAGCCTCCTGTCATCATCTTCAGTTGACCCAATGAAGGCTAGTATCCCTAACCCCAAATAATGGGCAATTGATGAAATTACAGCACTCATGCCCAAAACAGTTAGTGTGGAATCACATCCACTTATTATAAGATTGCAAATTAGTTCCCAGAAATTATCCCAAGAAATAAGGTAGGAATTTTCTCCAGTGTCATTTGCCATCTTTAAAACGTATATTAACACAGAAGCTTGAGCTGCAATTCTTGTTAGCCAGAAGACTCGCAGTATGTCTGGGAAACGAATCCTTTTCCAGGTATCCTCCATCAATAGCTGTAATCCATAAATACGATACATGTGCCTTACCAAAAGATAAACATATCGTGTAGAATAATAAAACCACTTAATTTTCACAGCCAACACAAGAGTGGTATTTAATGTCAGAATCAGGGAAGAAGCAAAAACTAAAAGTCTCTCTGACATGTAAGGGTAGCTCTGTGATTAGGCCTATTACAGGAACCAAGAAATTCATTATGATCAGCTGTGAGTAGATGGACTGAATTTGAAGTAATGTTACATATCCAATTCCAAATGTTAGCTGAAGAACAATAAGTGCCATCCATAGTGAGGGACCTTTCCGAGGAAGAAATTCAATTCCAAATGCTGATGTGTTGTAGGCACCATAGAAGTCAATGTGCAAAGAGGCGTAATAATTCACCAACACTGAAGTTGCAGCTAGTAGAAAGGCTGAGCTGTACATGTAAAACTTGAAAAGTGATCGCTGTGACAAGATCAAAACAACACTGGATACAAATATACCTAAAAGAAAAAGATGGAGAGAAATCAGTTTGCTTCCTTTAAACAAACATCCTGTCTTAGAATTTTGAGAAGAACTGATGGACCTCTACATGTCAAGTTCTTCAATTACTTGATGATGCATAGACAGTTTCATGCTTATGAACAATGGCCTAACAACTGCTTCTCTTTTTTTTTATTAATTTATTTTGATTTATCAACAATCACTTCCATATGCTTTTGAGTTGAAAGTTTTTCTCCCCCTTCCTCCCCCCCACCCTCCCCAAGATGGTGCACAATCTGATATAGGCTTTACATTTACATACCCATTCAACATATTTTCACATTAGTGAAGTTGTAAGTAAAAATTAAAACCAGTAGGAGGAACCATCAGAAAGATGAAACAAAACTCAACAGAAGGTAAAAGTAAGTGATAGCGATTCGACTTCCATAGTTCTTTCTTTGGATGTGGACAGCATTTTCCAACCCAAGGTCTCTGGAGATGTCTTAGATCCTCGTAATGCTGAGAAGGGTTCAGTTTAACAATCTTAGTCATTGCATAACGTGGCTGTTATTGTGTACAAAGTCCTCTTGGTTCTGCTCACTTCACTCAGCATCAGCCCATATAAGTCTTTCCAGGTTTTTCTGAAGTCAGCCTGTTCATCATTTCTTATAGCACGATAGTATTCCATTACATTCATATACCACAACTTGCTCAGCCACTCCCCAATTGATGGGCATCCTCTCAATTTCCAATTCTTTGCCACCACAAAAAGAGCTGATATGAATATTTTTGTACATGTGGGTCCTTTTCCCATTTGTTTGATCTCTTTGGGATATAGCCCTAGGAGTGCTACTGCTGGATCAAAGGGTATGCACATTTTTGTAGACCTTTGGGCATAGTTCCAAATTGTTCTCCAAAATGGTTGGATCATTTCACAATTCCACCAACAATGTATTAGTGTTCCAATATTCCCACATCTTCTCCAACATTTATCATTTTCCTGTTTTGTCACGTTCGCCAATCTGATAGGTGTGATGTGGAACCTCAGAATTGTTTTGATTTGCATTTCTCTAATCAATAATGATTTAGAGCATTTTTTCATATGACTATAGATGGCTTTAATTTCTTCATCTGAAAACTGTCTGTTCATATCCTTTGACCATTTATCAATTGGGGAATGGCTTATGTTCTTATAAATTTGTCTTAATTCTCTATATATTTTAGAAATGAGGCCTTTATCAGAGAGACTGGTTGTAAAAATTCTTTCCCAATTGTCTACCTTCCTTCTAATCTTAGTTGCATTGGCTTTGTTTGTGCAAAAACTTTTCAATTTAATGTAATCAAAATTATCCATTTTGCTTTTCATAATGTTCTCTGTCTCCTGTTTGGTCATGAATTCTTCTGTTCTCCATAGATCTGATAGGTAAACTATTCCTTGTTCTCCCAGTTTACTTATGGTATCAGCCTTTATATCTAAGTCCTGAACCCATTTTGACTTTATTTTGGTATACGGTGTGAGATTTGGGTCTATGCCTAGTTTCTGCCATACTCTTTTCCAGTTTTCCCAGCAGTTTTTTTCAAAGAGTGGGTTCTTATCCTAGAAGCTGGGGTCTTTGGGTTTATCAAATAATAGATTACTACAGTCATTGACTACTGTGTCTTGCATATTTAACCTATTCCACTGATCCACCTCCCCTATTTCTTAGCCAGTACCAAGCAGTTTTGATGATTGCTGCTTTATAATACAATTTAAGATCTGGAATTGCTAGGCCACCTTCCCCTGCATTTCTTTTCATTAGTTCCTTTGATATTCTGGACCTTTTGTTTTTCCAAATGAATCTTGTTATTATTTTTCTAACTCTATAAAATAATTTTTTGGTAGTTTAACAACTGCTTCTCTTGACAGTCTCATCTTAAAGGACCATCAAAGCCCCTCCCAAAAGTGCTAGCAAGACAGATGACCTATGAACTCAGTACTGTTTGTCCTCATGTACTTTTTGCACTCTTAATAAATTACTTTAGAGTAAATGTGTACATGTTATTATTTCTCTAAGAGACTAATCTGCTATATGGTGCTTTGTTGTGTTGTAGATGCTCAATAAATAAACACACTGAATAAAAAATAAGGAATATTTCCATAAAAGTGGGGTGAAAGAATTTAACCTCCACAAAGAGCACTAGAGCTCAAGAATTTTAAATTGCTAGGATGGAAAAAAAATCCATTGCTACTTTTATATTTTGTAAAATCCAAATATAGTGTGTATTTGAATCATAATGTAAGTATCTCACTCTGACAATGATCTATAACCAGAGAATTCCTTTATACTGC